CGCATCTTGTGTTTATCATGTGTAAGGTGGCATATCTTTTACTGGCATATCATGGCATATTACTTAGGAGAGGAGAGTTCCTTGTGATAAGCAGTGGACGTGATAATCAATGGATGAGCCTTTCGCATAAACAGCACGGAGAGTTAGTCGCGTTCATGGCAGGAGCTGCGAGTAAGACCTAAGTGATGCTACTTGTACGTTGGCCGGTGCTCAAATTATGATGGAATGGCATAGAGATGGTCGAGGAGGCGTAGGGAGGAGCTACTGGTCACGTGCGCCAATGATTGATCTGTAAAGAAAGTGCACAATCTTGCTTGTCAGGCATTGGATGGGGGGAGGGGATAAGCCAAAGTTGTAATTTATTGAGGATTTGATTTTAAAGTCAGAACTAGGAATAAAATACTAGGATAAAATAATAATTAGAATAATAATTTAAGACTAAAATGGGGAGAACGCAATATAGTGAAAGGATCATGTGCTGAGATAATATGTGGCCTAACTAACTATTGTGTATGGTCGTAATAGCGTTGAGGATATGGAGTGGAATAATAAAAATTGAAGTCCATGTGAGTGCATATAGATGGCGACACTTATGTGTGTCCTAAAAATTCATAGAAGAAGTATTACAATACAATTAACGAAGACTTTGATGGACTTCTTAGCCGAGATGAGAGCTGAGATGAAAGCCGGATATCAAGAGATCAAGGCTGAGTTGAAAGCCAGACTGAAGGAGATGAAAGCTACACTGGAAAAGAAGAACACCTGACGAGAAGAATTAAATGTCGGCCAAGAAAAGGTGCGAGAGCAACTCCGACAGGTGTAAAAGAAAGTAGAGCCATAAAAGACAATGTGGAAATGAGAGAAGTAGCATATGAAGAATCAAAGGATGAAGAAATGAAGGAAGCTAATGAACTGCCTGAGAAAGATCAAGACATGATGGATGAAACATCTAACGGGATTAAAGGAAAACGACTAAAACATGAAGAAATAAAAAATTAGAATTAGAAAATTAGAAAAGAAGCTTTTAATTCACAAGAGCCTGAAGTGGAAGAAAGAGAAAATGTGATTGTTAAGTTCATCGAAACTGATAGTGAATTTATGAAGTCACAGTTCACAAATATTGAACCACCTGAAACTGCATGTGATGCAGAGAAGGGAGAGGTTGATGTGCAGCTTGAGCAGCGTGTTCCAGTGTAGAGAGAAAATTCACTCACCTCGCAAATGATGTGTGCGTCTCATAGTGCTGATTGTGAAGACAAGGACTTGATTCTAAACCTGGACACTTGTGTTTGTGAAGAATCGGGTTCCATTCATCACTCTGATGCAGAATTTGGAACTAGTTCCCAGGAAACAGAGGAAAATAAGCATATACCAGCTGCTAAAAATACCGAAGTGAACTGTATGCATGCTGCGAATGAATTACAGAGTGGTGAACAAACTGTCTCAGATCTTCCTGTTGAAGACAAGTCTGAAAGGACTGAAGCTTCAGACTGTGATATGCAAAACAGAAATATGAGGGCAATCCCAAAAAAAAGGTCTCCTATATTTTTAGATTGCTACATCACTTTAAAGATTGAAGAATGCTTTATTTTTCAACATAATCGCCATTTCGGTCGATGCATTTTTGTAGATGCTGTGGCAGTTTTACAATGCCCATGTCATACCAGCTTGCCGCCATGCCCTTCAGGAAGCGTTGAACCTCATCTTTCACCTCATCATCAGAGCAGAACCACCGTCCAGACAAATGTTCCTTCAACTTGGGGAACAGGTGGAAATCGCTGGATGCCACGTCCAGACTGTAGGGTGGGTGTGTGATGATGTTCCAACTAAAATTTTGCAGGAGATCGACAGTTTGACGGGCAATGTGAGGATGGGCGTTGTCGTGGAGAATGCTTACACCCTTTCTCAACATCCCTCTTCTCCGGTTCTGAATTGCCCTTCTGAGTTTCTTCAGTGTTTCACAGTACCTGTCAGTATTGACTGTTGTACGAGCAGGCAGAAAGTCGACTAACAGAAAGTCGGCCCTTTCTGTCCCAAAACACAGTTGCCATTACTTTACCGGCAGATTGTTTGCTTGAATTTTCGTGGCTTGGCGAAGAGGGATGCCGCCACTCACGTGACTGTTGTTTTGTCTCAGGTGTAAAGTGGAATGCCCAGGTTTCGTCACCTGTGACAATTGAGTCCAAGAAGTTGTCCTTTTCTTCTCCATAGCGGGGAAGAAATTTGTGGGAAGAATCAACCCGTTGTCATTTGTGATCTTCTGTCAGCATGCACGGCACCCATCTTGCACACACCTTCCGATATTGCAACTTTTTCGTTAAAATCCTGTGGATGGTGCTTCTGGAAACCTCAGGAACCAAAATGCAGAGAGCATCCAGAGTAATCCTCCAATCTTTACGCATGACTTCCTCAACTTTCGCGATTGTCTCGTCGGCAATTGACGGCCTCCCACTCCTTTCTTTGTCATGAATTTCAGTACGACCGGCTGTAAACTCTCTACACCACTTACGTACGTTTTTGACATCAATGCATGACTGCCCATACACTTCCGCCAATAGGCGGTGAATTTCAACCGGTTTAATGTAAGTAATATAGTGTAAATATGTTTCTTCGTTGGATATTCTATCTTATGTTTGTTTCATGCGTTTGAATTTGTCTTTGACAAGGGTTTAACTGCCCGGTATGGCAATCCTTGGAGGGGGCAGTGTACAAAATGACAGCGGTGAATAGCTTAGCCACAAAGCAGTTTTAGGGTTACCACATTTGGCGATATCCCATGGACGGATGGAGAACCTTCTGGAACGAATTCTTACCGGTTTAGCCTAGAATGTTCCTGAACCCAAGCCGAAGCTTACCTCTGGATCCGCAGTCAGTTAGTGTATGTCTCTCATCGAACGTGTGTCTCGTCTAGTGAGTCAATCCCTGAGGAGGCGATCACGTTGACAGCTGGCCAGCGAGTGCTGAGTGCACCGAAAGAGTCTTGTAAAGTATCACAGTTAGTGCATCATCGAGAGCGGTTTCTTGGGAACGATCGAACCGAAGAGTCGGGAGCTGTGCTCGTGTGTCGTCGAGTGCCTGATAACCTGAAGGCTGTGTTGCTGATCGTGTCAGCGTGTTTAAAGTAGTTCATCGACGACTATAAAAAGTGATTTTGAAGCTATCTGATTAATTATGGCTAATAAAGTGTGTTTCGATACTTCATCAAGTAGCGGCGTTATTCACTCCAAATCTACGAACACCGTACGAACGTGAAGGAAGAAAATAACGCAACAACTGGTGCCAGAAGAAAAGAAAAACGCAACAGTATTAAGGCATAAACTCCTATATCTAGGCACTAATGTGTTGACATCACACTGAGAAAGCTAATATGCCATACAACGAAGATGGAATACTTATGCACAGAAGTTGGTCACTTTCTACAGGTTAGTGAACTGTACATTAAAGTGGCCTTCTACATAATTACTGATCGACGTTAAATATAAAGAAACTCTAAAGTCAACAAATTAGTGCCTTGCTTCTAAGTTACATTTAAAGAATACACAAAATCCGGCTTATTTACTAATTAATTATACAGTAGCCACTAGCTTTCCTGCAAAAAGATACTAACATTATCAACAAAATTAATTGAGACTTAAATCAATATGTAAGGTCAAATTTATCAATAATACAAGATGCACACATAAAGCAACCAGACAATTTCTTATAAATAAGAAAAAGATTACTAACCTTCAAATAAATTTATCTCCTTCAAAATAATACAGTGAAATAATTATATCAATTTTTCCAATCTTCCTTCATGTCACTGAGACACTGTTTATAGGGAACAGAACTAACTGTTCCCAAAATACATATAAAATTTTATTTAATATCCAAGATGTTTTCAAATCTCTGTTCTTTCACAGCCATCTTAAGCTTCAGAAAAAGAGAAAAATCAGAAGGCAATAAGACAGGAGAATATTGTGGGTGATTTATCTCAGCAGTTGAATGCTTAGCAAGACACTGTCAAGCAGACAATGTTGTATGGAGCCTAGCATTGTCATATAAAAGAAACAACTGCCCAGAATAAAAAAACTCCTGCCTAACTCACCTTACTCTGCTTCTTAATTGAAAAAGAATCTTTTTGTAAAAGTATTGATTTTCAGGGATAAAATCATGGCGAATAAGTCCTTTGTAATCACAAGATGCAATCAGCACCACTTTAGCCTTTGATTTCGACACCCATAGTATTTTTTTTTTTTTAAATGTGTGTGCATATATACAGGAGGACAGTCCTTTTCACTATGCACTTTGTCTTTCAGTTTCTGGGATGTATTGCAGGCACGAGGTCTAATTTTCCACTATGCTACACTTTAAGAAGTTGTTGTTCTGCATCCCAGTAATCAGCAAAGATTCACAGCAAGCTTTTCCATCTTCTTTTTTTCTGTTCTTTCAAAATCTGAAGCACAAATCAAGCACACATTTCCTTCATTTTTAGATTTTCAATTAAAATTAACTTACAGCTTTCTTTGCATATCCCAAGCATGCATGAAATTTGCCAAGTTGCTATACGTCTTATCAATTTTTACCAAAGAAAACATGTTCATCATTCTTTAAGGCTGAAGAATGCTTTTTTGCCTACATTTAAAGAAAATGTGCCATCTGTACACTTGTATTCTTGATAATGATGCATTACCGTATGCTGTTTGAATCATATCTAACATTCCAATTGCAGATTTACCTAATTTGCAACACAATTTAATGTTATAATAATGTTCCATATTTAAGCAAATTTTTTTGTACAATATTGTATTAGCAAATGGAAATGACTTCGCTCTTTTGATATCCAGACAACAAAATAACCAGTTTAAACTGGCTATAACAAGAGCAGAGATGCCACTCTTTCTAATCATACATTTATTGTTTCACATTTCATCGCTTAGTCTTTTAATTTGTCCAGTTACTTTATGGGTTCACCTTGTACAATGTAATAGTCAAAATTTTAACAGAACATAAAATTTTACCAGCCAAGGTAGCACCAGCAGGAACTTGAAGAAACTCTCTTATGACTTTTTCTGATTGTAAATTATAAGCAGAAATATTCCAGCTGAATGTATCATCGAGTCTGAAAATAAAAATATTTTGGTATTATTCTTTCCCCAGATATACTTCACTCAGACAATATAAAAAGCTCACTATCACTTCCAGATAAATGACAGACAACATAAAAGAAAATGCTCATAAGTCAATCAAAATGGGCTGTAAAATATTATTACTTCTAAGGTCTGTCAAACATTTAAATGCACAAAATGTATTACCATTTTAAAACATACTTTATTCAAAAAAAAAAAAAAATTCAAATAATAAGATCAATATTCTAAATGCAAAAGTATACCTAAAAAGGTGAAATGACTTTCTGATCTGAACCTGATCAGCATTTAAGGGCCATTCTGCAATACCATCCACTAAAAAAGGATCTGCAACAATCACTTTATACTCACCGTGGAGTACCTATCTTTCCAGAAATCGTTCAGACCTTGTAGAGTGAACAATAAGGTGTGTTCAGGCCATTATTAGAGCAAAAGCTGGACCTATCAAATACAAGGCAAGGGGTCACAATTTAGTGAATACTCTGTATACACTTCGGAAATGCTTATACTGGGGAACGGTTAGTCAGAATTCTTTCGTGTCTTCTAAGAAATAATTCTTCATATCTGACATAAACTCCATAATCACCACCGTTGTTATGATTCTGATCAGCACATGATTTGCAGCAAGATGCAGTCTGAATTTATGTGCAGTTTATCTCTTAACCACCTATAGTTTCTCAAAAAATTGTGAGTTTCCGATTTTAATATCACACTTATAATTCAACTTTTATGTTTAGATGGCTGTTATAAATCAGTATGAAACTTCCAAATTAGTTTATATAGAGAATAATGCATAGACATCTATTGTTTATATTTTATAGAAGAGTGTGGAGCATATAGCAAGGGGGGAGAGACAATTTTCACCTGCTGTCCTCTTAAGGAAGTAAACATCAAAAAAAGTTTCCACTTGCAGGCCAAAAAATTTTAATGTACCAATGAAATTTATAAAAATGCAATAGAAATGCAGGCTAAATTTGAAATTAATGAAAAAATTGTGGCTTTGCTTAACAGTGCATATTTCATTTTAGCCTCAAACATAACTCTCAATGTAGAAATTATTGGGAAAAAAAAAAAAAAAAAAACAGGGATAAGCAAACACACGGGACACAAAACAAAAGTCCTTTGACTTTTTCTGATTGTAAATTATAAGCAGAAATATTCCAGTTGAATGTATCATCGAGCATTCCAGCTGAATGTCATCACCTTTTTTGGGGGGGGAACAAAAGTCCTTTGACTTTTTCGTGTCAAGTAATGTCTCTAATGCCGCAAAGTTTCATTATCTAATCATATCAAACATGATAAGGTATGAGAAGCCATGCAGTATGCATACCATCCATTAGATAATTTTCATGTTATAACAATGATAACTAGTTTATGAGATTTGATATAAAGATATAGAGCTTTTGCAGCTAACTTGGTAGGTTTAATGAATATCTCACCAACTGGAATTTTTTCTCTGTGGAAATACCATCAAATAAGTTTGACTGCTTACACAAAAACAGTCTTCTTCTCCAAAGTATCTTTAGAAAAGTAAATCAATTACTGGCAACAATATGCTTCTAGATACGGCAATAAGAAAACCCTCTTAGTTCCTCCAGGTTTTATGTGAAAAAAGGCATATCCAAAGATTTTGAAATATGGAATACTTCACAGACTATATTCCCCTATTGCAGTAACCTTCACAGTAATCTATTGTTAAGATATATATATCTTATATATATATATATATTAAGAAGTTGAGCAGCAACCTACAACCTATTAGTTTGCACAATAACCTACCATTTACATACAAAGCATTTTGAAGTCCAAGATATTTCAGGTTAGAATTAGTTCTCTTCTATCTGATGATTTCATTTAAAATGTGTATGAAGCAGAGAAATGTGTATACTGCCCATAAGAATGTGTTTTTAAAAAGATAACTTGGATGTAAAATGGACAAATGGGCCTCAACTGAAAAAAGGATCCATATGAATAAAGTAAGATGCATTTGGCGAGATTTATGTGGTGTTACATTTTAAGAACTACCAAACTGTTGGCATACGTACCAACTTTTACAAATTTTGTGTATTTTTTGTGAAAACCTCTGTAATTCACTGCCATCAAATTTGGGATTATTTCTACCCTACATAATCAAATAAACCCACTTATTTCGAGGAAAAGGGAAGAATGTTACAGCATTTCATCACTTCAGCATTTTTATACTGTGTGTCCCTAGGGTTTAGTGATTACTTTTCATTTTACAAGCTTTAAAAACTGCTCTAACTTTGCAACATTTAAGTTAGTTAATTGCAAATTTCTCCATGCCTTATTTTTAATGTATTAACATTACTATGATAGTATTTCATATAATTGTATTTCAAAATTCCAATATTACAATAAAATTATATCAAATGAAAATATATATCTTTCTATTTGCTTGTTTTAAAATCTCTGATTTCTGTCTTTGGCGATTTTGTGAAACCAAACTGGAAACCTGATATGAACTGGCTATTATAAAATATATCTAGCAGTGTCAAATATTGTATGCATGCAGTTTGTACTAATACAATTTGTTTGATACAATGAGAAAAAAAAAAAAAAAAGACAGTATTTTAAGACCAGCCTCTTTATTTTTTATGACAAAGAATTAGCAAGGGACCTATGGAGTTTGACACATATATGGATGCAATTTTTTAATATCTCAAAGTGAAAAAAATGGTACTTTGAAAATTCTTTAAAAATATTAAAACAATTACATACATTAATTACAAAAACATTAAACAATTACATATATCAAATGTTGAAAATATGGATAAGATCAGGAAGTCAGCAACGATTTTCAAAGATCTGCTTATTTATAGTGTTAAGTTAGTGTTAGTTGAGCTTTTATTTAACTTTTGATTGAACACCCTTGAATCATGCTGTAAATCATGATTATTTAGACCCTCTGATTATTTAGATGTTTCCTAATTCATACGTAGCAAATGCATATCCCTGTGTCAGAACAAAAACTTCTGCCCTTCTTAATGAGATGGTGAATGTACACAAAAAGACCCAATAAGTATGTTACAAAAATCTGCCTTGTTGTCTGTTGATGTGAGCAATGAAAGTGATTGTGATTGTATCCAATTGTTTCAACTTATTTTAATGAAGCAAAGGATTAAATAAAATGTACTACCTTGTGTCTTTAATTTAGTTAGTGAATAAACTTGGCATAATATATCTATGATGATTATTAATGAACTGAGTAAATTAAATATTCTTACATCAAACTGTGTTTCTTGATAGTTAATGAAAATATATGGCCATATACTGAAAATATATGGCAATTTTTCTGTTTAATCATTATGGCTTGCCCATATCATTTAAAAAATCTAGCAGCAGAAAGAGCAGCTGCTATATTACCAGTAAACATAAAACAAATTTCAGTGGATGGATTCTATTTCATCAAAATATAACTGAACAAAGACATCAGTTGTTTAACACTGATATTTAGAGATGTTCCAGTAGTTTCATGAAGCTTGTTTGGTTTTATTTGGTTGATTTATTTGATTATGGCCAAGCACTCAAAGGATATCTCTTTAAGAGGAGGGATATCTTTGCAGAGGACTTTCTAAGAAAAACTGGCTTGTATAGACATTATACTTGGGGAAAACCACAAAAACGCTCATGCAGCCAGCCCATTCAGTGGGATTCGAACATCAGACTGAACTACCAGTCCAGATTTGAAAGGAAAAATAAGAAAAATACTGAACACACGAGATTTAAAGAAATTTCTCCTTGCTTACCACACGCCTTCATGGTGCAAGTGGTAGCACATTTGACTAGCAATCAAGAGGTCCAAACTTCGAATCCCAGAGGGGCACAGCTGATTTTTTCTGTTTCCTGCTAAAAAAACTAACTATATCATAGCTGTAGCTGTTGCATTGAAAAAGACTAACGGAGCAGTAACATCCACATTTAAGTTCTTCCCATACAAAATTAAATTAAACAATAAGTTCAAAACTATTGATAAAGAGAAAGAATGGCATGATGAAACTGTTCGCAGGAAAATTAAACTGAATGGAGAAATCGTACAAAAGAAGAATAACAAAGTATACTTTTTCTGTAAAAGAAAAGAATTTTTTAATTTTATCTAACATAAACAAAACTTTTTACATTTTTTTACACTGTTTAGAGTTTTGAAGAATTAAATATGCCACTACAGATTGCATCATGACATTCATATTTGCAAGAAAATACTTAAGACATTGTTGCAAAGTTTCCTTGCTAAATTTGTTAAGCCTAAAGTAGTAGAAATATTCTATGATTTGACAGAAATTCCTTACCATTATTCCAAACATAAGAAAGAAAATTAAGATTTGTTTATTGGAAACTGAACTTGAAAATGCCAAAGAAATGTTTAAAGATAATAATTTTTTTTCCCCCATTTGTTTGACAGTATTTTGAAACTGCAAGTAACTGCAGAAATTGAAATTTAAAAGAAATGGGTCTTTTAATTAGTGTTTCATATTTTGTGAATAAATTCCCATTCCTGATCACAATGAAACATGGATAGAATGATGATACAGCATGGAATGAATTTCAAAAGCAATTTACAGCACTCCGCTAAGAGGAATGAGAATTTTTATAACCTGAAGTTGTTGGCATGGTTGATTTGGTTGGTTTTATATGGAAGATGCATGCTGCAGATAGAATTCATGAATGTAACAAGACCATATAATTCCTGAAAGCTATATTAATCATGCTTCGCAGTAATGCAGAATATGAGCATATTTTTAGCACTGTCAAAGAAATGAGACTCAGTCTCACTGCTCTATGAGAGCACAATTTCTTGAGAATACCTTGATTGACAAATAGGATAATAAGAATTACAAAGCTGAAATTTCCAGTTTCTTTTAACAAAAACAAAATCAGTTTACTGCTTTAAATTAAATTTGATTTTTCATTTCATTTAATGGGATTTTCTTTTCAAATTATATTTCTGACATGTATA